GACGTACAGATAGACAGACGTACAGAAGGACAGATGTGCGTATGGTTTAGGCGCTAGTGGTGTTCACAGATCGACAGACAGAGGCAGACAGACGGACGGACGGACGGTCGGACATGATGAAACAAAAAACCAACACTTTTTCGGTATGAGGGTACCCCAAAAAGTATATTCGTTGAAATCTCGAAATCGATTTTCCTCAGCATTACATAACTTTCTCTATACTACGTAATTATTTCGTATATACGTACGTACACAAAGGTGAACATTAAAGAAGTAATTTTCATTGGGCCTCATATTCGAGACTTGATGAAAGATATTAACCGTTTCTGACAGATACTGAGAAAGCAGCAGCAGGCTTTCATTGAAAGATGTCTTTGAAATTATATTTCCTTCATTCCCATTTTAATTTCTTCCCACCTAACTTTGAGATGAGAGTGTCGAACATAGAGAGCGATTTCACCAAGATATCGCTGCCATGGAAAGATGATGTGTGGAAAGATTATCATCAAACCTTTTGTCTGCTTTTTACTGCTGGACACTCCTACAAAAAGTTTCCCCATCAACCCCCAATAGAAAGTATCCAGGAAAAGTTTCTAACTAGTAAGAACATTTCAAGCTTTATTCATCTTTTCGTACCGCTTACATTTTGTTTGGTAATACAATTATTTATTACAAAGAATTTTTTGTAATACAAACAATTATTTATTACAAAGAATTTTTGTAACACAAATTAATATTAATATACGATCTGTATATTAATCAACTACAGTTTCCTCCTGTATCGTTACTGAGTCGTTTCCAAGTTTCTAGAAAGTGGTGTACGTGGCGTATCTTTTCCAGAAAAGTTGGTACTTGATGGAAATTTCTGATTTTATTTTCGCAATCAGCGAATCTGATATAGTAAAGAATCCATACTTTCATCTGGCAGCAAGACAAAGAGTTCAAATATGTTGCACTGGTCGGAAGTACAGAAATTGATATAACATACACAATGAATTTAAATTAAAACATTTTAAATAAGTCATGTCAAATTTATAGATGCATCCACATGCAATTTCTAAACGCAAGGAAGAATACAGTCGTACTGGTACCGGCGATTAATAGGTATAACCAAGATTACATTGATGACAAAATTAATAATAATTGTTTAAATTGTTTAATAATAATTGTTTCATTAAAATTAATAATTGTTTTTTGATATAAAGCGACAAACAATAAATTACATTACACATTCGCTACTTTTTTCATATCCGTCGTTCATCCATAGCTGGTCTGGTGCAACCGGTGCATGGCATCGAGCCCTTAATAAGGAACTCCGTGGACTGATACCCGGAAAGAGTAAAACAAATCACACTCCATGCTTAATTTCTCCATTTCACCATCCGTATTGTTATACCAATTAATTTTTTAAAATTTAAATTCACGTTTATAACAGATAAGGGTTATCGAGGAAGAAAATCATTCCTGTAACACTGGAGGAATGTCATGGCCAGTTAAAAACCACTCAAAATTCTCTAAACATTTCACAACAATGAAGATAAGCAGCTACTCAAAACGGAAGAGTATTCGATTATTGACAATCCATATATTTACCAAAATATTGATCTACGAAATGATTATCTTTGAGACATGTACGTGCTATTATTTGTGTTTTGATTCTGTAAGCTGTATATTATTGAGAATAACGTAAGGGGGTCGATGGAGGAAATCATTCTTTTAAAAGAGGTCGATGAAAGAAAAGGGTTGGGAATCCTTCGTATAGAATAGAAGCCACATATGTAGAGCAGAAAATCACCTAGAGGGTACGAATCATATATGAACGTCAGACAATTTCAAACTGCAGCCATAGAATTACGGAAGCACCATTGATTGGGAAGATCTCGTTGCATTGCAAGAGCACGATCCGGACTCCCACAGGGTGAAATTATATAAAGAACATAGATTATCACATAATGATATGAACTGTGATGCGATAGAGGACAAGATGTGGACAATATGAATGGAAATTAGTTCAGCGAGCGGTCACTAGAAGGGTAAAAATGGATCCAGAGACATTCACATTACGGATTCCCAAGAAATTATGAAGATACTACAGAAATTATGCTATTAGAGAGGCATGGCCCGGCAAGTAAGGAAAGTAGTTGGCAATGCATGTTATGTGAGAAAAATAAATACCGGACCGAGACTTATACAGGATACATGCATCCAATAATCCGTATAGTGAAAAACGACCTAGCGGCTGTGGACATTTACGGGCCACTACCGGAAACTCAGGATGGAAACAAAGTAGTGTGTAGTAGTTGTAGTGATCGAGGTATTCTCCAAATTTGTTCCAATTTATTCCATCCAGAGAACGAACACCCAAACGTGTTTGAAGAAGCTAAACATTTTTTTAAATGGCTGGAGCATATAAAAGGGTCCTGTCGATCACGGTACAACGTTGATGAGTTATCATTGGCAGCAGGCATTGAAAGACGTAGGGACTGACTCGACACTTGCGTCGATACGACACCCTCAGTCGAACCCGGCTAAAAGAGTTATGAAGGAACTATCGAGAATGTTCCGGACGTATTGTCTTGAACATCATGAGAGATGGGGAGAATTGATACCTAACATAAATAAATGGTTGACATCAATCCCGCATGATAGTACAAGAATAACCCCTTATAAAGCACATTTTAGAAATATACCACCCTATGTCTTGTATGCCCTCGGTAGGGAAGTAATATCCGAGAGACCTCGGCAACCATCAGGGGATATGATTCACCAACATTTGGTAAAGATGAGTGAAACTAGACCAAAGAAGTCAAAGAAAACACCATATGAATTCAAGGCGTAACAGCAGGGCCTCGTTAGGGAACCCAGAGTATCGAATCCTAGAATAAAGTTGTTCTAAAAATGTTTCTTATTGAATGAAGAGCCTTATGAAATTAAAGTAATCACAGCTCCCAACGTAGCAAAATTAATGAATGGACAAGAAGATAGAACGGAACAGTACAATTTTTACAATTTGAGAGCGTGTCAAGTGAAACACGACACGATTGAGACAGAAGAGTCATCACAGGAATGAAAGATTGTTTTTCCTGATGAAAAAATCTAAATTACGTGGGGGGTTATCAGATCAGATTGGGTCTCAAGATCTAGGATTAAAGCGAAATAGAATATTCAAACCTGGTGCGAGAGCGAAGGGACGCCGCGAACTAATGACAACCGAACGGGTCCTTGGCGCGTCAGCGGTGTGTGAAAAGACGAGAAGGTCGTTGGAGCGGCAGAGACGTTTGGAAAAGGGAGAGAGCGGAGGTGTCAGTGGCGAGTGGCCGCCACGAGGAAAAGCAGAAGTGAGAATAAAATTGGTGCCAGTGAAATGGTAATTACGCCATTGTGATCCCGGTGCCTGTTAATTTGGTAAAATGGTGAACATAGAAGAGTACATAGAGAATAGAATATAGGAAATCGCCAAGACGAGATAAATAAGCATAGAGCCGTGATAACTGTATTAATTACGTTCGTGGTAAATGTAAAACTATGTGAATTAATGTATGGTGTCGCGACCATGAATAAAATGAGATTGCACTGAATTACTTAAAAAGCATAAAGAGATAAATGCGGAAGCTGACATTCGTCGTAACTGACAATTGTGCGCCTGAGAGTTACACGTGACGGCGGACAGCGGAGGGCGACATCGTAGAGAAGCGAGAAAGGTCGCGCCCCTCTTGCCACTTCGCAGCATGGGCGACTGGCGGAGAGGCCCGAGCGTTTCTGAATCAACCAGGAGCGACGCCGCATACATGGCCTTCAGGCGAGGGAAACACATATCCAATTCAATACGTATTTGAAGGGTGGGCGGAACTTTGAATCATGAAAATCTGAATGAGATAACATCCGGATGATGATGATGATGATGATGAAGGAGAATAATTCGAGTTTTGTTGATGATAGAGTAAAGAAGCATTATAGGGAAACTGATCACTTTGTATAATAAAGAACAAGTAGCAATGAACTTGAGGTTAATTTTCTTAATGTATTTATTGTATTATTAAATATAATTCAGCCAGTGAATAAGGGTACTATTCTATTGTTAATGTAAAAAGTATTATTAATAGTTAAATAATATCATAATAGTGTTTTTGTGTGTAATTTGTTAAAAACAAATAATTTCTTTTGTAAAAGGATGCACAGCTGTGAACATAATATCCATACAATAGAGATCATGTTCTTGTAAGAAAGACTAGATTTCGGATTTCATTGGAAGAACAGGCGAGTCTTGAATAATGTTTATGTTACCATGTCAGAAGCCATTAAAAATAAATGCGATTGTATTTGTTTTGTTCTTAGAAAGATCTTTTATTTATTAATCCAATGCATTTGATCAACAAGGTTGTTACCCCAATAAGACTCCTTGTCCCCTTTACTTATTTCATTTTATCCACAGATAAAAGTGTGGTCGTTAACCTACCTACTTATCTAATGTCCCCATTAAAACATGATTTGAGTGTAATTGCCGTCACAACATATGTATGTATGTATGTATGTATGTATGTATGTATGTATTGAGCTGATTCCCTCGCTGATTGAATTGAGTGAATCTCCTCGCTACATGCACCAATCTAAACCGTCTTTGATATAGCACTAATAGACAATCCTGTTGTGTGCGCAAAATTCGATATCAAATTTCTTGTGATTGCAACATTTTCCTCCTTATATTATACGAGTGTAGTAAAGGGAAGAACAGTAAAAATGTAGCTTCAATAATGTGGTTGTGGAAGAAGGCCAAACAAAAATGTTATATAAAAAATTAAAATTTTCGAAAATGAGACGTTGTAATGAAAGCCGGACTTAAAACTCCTCAGGTCATTAGTATCTTCATAACGGTCTCGGTAGAAAACTATTCCATTAATTTACTCTTAAATGCTCATGTGTGAATTGTTAGCTTGCCGAGCTCCCTCTTAAAGAAATTGCGAGTGCGGCGCTCGTACGAGTAGGTACTCACCGCGGCACACGCGGCCCATGTAGTCGACTAGGGCGGACCACTCCTCGCGGTAGCCCGAGGGGCAGGCGTCGACGCAGGTGCGCGAGCCCAGCACGATGAGGCGCGCGCACTTGACGCACGCGTCTCCCGCGCACCGCAGGCAGTCGCGCGCCTGGCAACCTGCAACACCACGCACAGCTCAGCCTCCAATTGCTTTTATCACTCAGGGTTTGCGGTCTGATATGGTCATTAAAAACATACGTTTAGAGTACGTTATATCACGGAATGTGGTGTTCCCCCGCAAGAAAATGGCATCCAGAGCTGACATACACATCGTCTTGCCCTCCGCTCTACCTCCCCAGCGGGGCACCGCTCCATCCGGGACAAGCTCTGAACTCCCGACAAGTGCAAGAGTGCGATTCGAACTTATACCTGAGACGATATTGGTTTGCGCACAAGAGCTCTACTTAGAGAAACGGCTCAGAAAACGTATACAGATTTACAAAAACCGAAGTTTTCATGAAACATGATTAGTTGTCTACAAATTCTTACGGCCCTCGGTTCAAGGTAGGATTCAGCTACTCCACGGTCGTGAATGTTGAAACTTTGCCACCGTCGGGACTCGAACCCTCGGACCTCCTTAGCAGAGTCGCTGCAGTAGCTCCAGTTGTCGCCCTAAACTATCACAGCCGGTCGAAATTAATGAGAACAATAATTGATGATAAATAGTCCTTCGTTCAAAAACATTTTAACAAAGAGAATAACATTTTTCGGGGATGAAAAATATATCATGAAGTCTGTAAAACTAAAGAGTTTTTGGCAATTCTCTTTCTGCCCAGAACAAAAACTTCCTAATTGTTCAACGAAAAAAAGTCCCAATATGCACTAAGAAAGAATTTTTCAAAAAACTACTCAAATATGCAGATTTGTAGTATTAAGTTAATTAATATTATGTTTAACGATGAGAAAGGATTCTCAGAATATCCAACTGTCTCCAAGCACATCTCAAATTACTTTTACAGACTGACACAGACTTCGAAGCGCGGAAAATTCGCATCTATTTGGATTTTTCTATCCATTTTTCAAAAATACAGAGAAGTTGTAAAAATTGACACCAACATCACAATTTTTACTGTTCTATGCTACTTTCCTAAAAATAATTTGGGCCGTTTCTGAGAAAAAAATTATTCAAAATTGAAAATTGCCTACGTTAATCGCAAAATTACTCAAAAACTAGAGGTGCTACAGAATGGAAGAGACTTTCTCGAATTAGTTTTCTATTTCCTTTCGTCTCAGCTAGCTATACGAACATGCAACACTCTCTTGTCAGTTGCCATCTATCGAAGCCCAAAGTATATATATTTTTTTTAAAAGTCGTAATTTTTATTTTCCGTAATAATAAAACGGAACTATTATTCGATAAATATTAAAAAAAGTAAAACCGCGTCAAAAATTGCAATTTTCTTCGCAAAATTTGCAGTCGGTTTTAGGAACATGGTGCACAAGCGACACTGTAAATTTGAAACTTGACGCTCTTTTTCACAGAAAAAATTTTATTTTTCGAAAAACTTCACTTGAAACACTATAACTCACAAATACAATAGTGAATACAAATTGCTGGAAATATGCATATTACCGGCGTGAGAGATCTTTAAAAAACTCATTTGTGTAATTTTTGAAAAAACAACAAAATACCCCGAAAGGAACTTTACGTCATATTAAAGAGTGCGATTATCCGTATCCTTTCGAAACGTTTAAAGAAAAAAATTGGAACCATTTTTGAGAAACTGGCGGTTGAGCGTTTCTGAAATTGCGAAAGTTGGAGCTAATTTTACGTAGAAAACGTTTGAATTTCCGATAAGCTTTATATCACATTATATAAAGCACATGTACTCATTAATATAATAATGTGAACAAATTACCGCTAATGTAAATATTAACGACGTAAGAGGCAAGTCAAAAAAAATACGTGTGTGTAATTTTTGAAAAAACGAAACAATAGAGCAATGTGGCGTTTATGTCACTATAGAGTGAATTTAGCTCTATTCGTAGCGACAATTCAAAGAAAAAATTTGGAGCCGTTTTGGGAAAATCTTGTTTTTGTATTTTTTTAAATTACACGCAATATTGTGCGAAGAAACTAAAATTTTCAAAAAAATGCTCATGACTTCAATGAAAGAACAAATTGTGGACAACAAATTTAATTTGAAGGAAAAATCCCTATCTTTAATTTTGTAATTGTAGGAAGATCCCGAAAAAATTTCAAACTTTTGAAATTTTCGAAAATTCAGAGTTTACCGTGTAAATCACACCTATACCGCCTTTATAAATTTATTTTACTCTATTCTTACAGGAAATTTAAAGAACAAATTTGGAGTCGTTTTTGAAAAAAATTTGAAAATGTAACCGAGACGTCATGTAAAGTACCCCGCAAAACTAATGAATGATTTTTGAAATCCCAGAGTTTCGACTCACTCCAAATGGGCAGGGGTTTCTTCAATTTGGAAAAAATCCTACGCACGGTTTATGCGGTAGTGTTGTTCACGAGAGAGATAGAGATATAGAGATAGAGAGAGAGAGACAGAGATAGATAGAGAGAGATAGATAGAGAGAGAGAGATAGATAGAGAGAGAGAGATAGATAGATAGAGAGAGATAGATAGATAGAGAGAGATAGATAGAGAGAGAGATAGAGAGAGAGATAGATAGAGAGAGATAGATAGAGAGAGATAGAGAGAGATAGAGATAGATAGAGGTAGAGAGAGAGAGAGAGAGAGATATAGAGAGAGATAGAGAGATAGAGAGATAGAGATATAGAGAGATATAGAGATATAGAGAGATAGAGATATAGAGAGATAGAGATATAGAGATATATATATATATATAGAGAGAGAGATAGAGAGAGATAGAGAGAGAGAGGAGAGAGAGAGAGAGGAGAGAGAGAGGAGAGAGAGGAGAGAGAGAGAGAGAGGAGAGAGAGAGAGAGACACCTATACTACCTATACTACCTATATTACTCCGAATATATTGATGAATTGATGAATATATTGATGAATATATTACATGCATATTTTGTACTGCTACATATGGCACAATCTTGACCGTATTAGTTTTCTATTTCCTTTAGTCTCATCTAGTTATTCGGACTTGCCACTCTTGACAGTTGCCATCTATTGCCGCCCAAAGAACAATGGTTTGACATTTTCTTAATTCTTCTTATTCCGAATAGTATACGGGAAATATTATTTGAAGAATATTAAAGACCAGTAAAACCTCGTAATAAATGGCAATTTTCGTTAAAATATTTGGAGTCTTTTTCGGAAAATGGCCTATTAGCGCTATTGTAAATTAGAAACTTGAGCTCTGTTTTACAGAACATTATTGAGTTTTCGAAAACTTCATTTGAAGTCATTTGAAACTCTAACTCACAAATAAAGCAGTGTTTACAAGTTGCTGGAAATGTGCAAATTAACGTCGTGAGATGTCTTTAAAAAACATTACATATGAGTTAAAAGGTACATTTCGAAAAAACAAAAAAAGTACCCCAAAATGAACTTTACATTATATTAAAGAGTGCAAAAATCCCTATCTCTTCGAAATATTTAAAGAAAAAATTTGGAGCCACTTATGAAAAAATGGCGTTGAAGCGTTTCTGAAAATGCAGAATAATGTGCCAGTTTTCGCGGAAAACTGTCGAGTTTTCGAGAAGTTTTATATGACATTAATAAAATCACACGAACTCATCAATATACTTCGTACAAATTGCCGCTAATGTAAATATTAACATTTTTGTATTTTTTGAAGAAACAAAAGAATAGAGCAATATAGCGTTTAAGTAATTTCATAGAGTACATTTTGCGTTACCCGTTCCAAACGTTTATAGAAAAAAATTGAATCTTTTTTGAGAAAATCTTGTTTTTGTTCCTTTTTAAAATTGCACATATTGTACGCAATATTACGCAGAAACTACTAAAATTTTCAAACAAATGTACCTGACTTTAATTATAGTACTCACTACGGAGAACAAGTTTTATTTGAAGGAAACAACCCTATCTTCAATTTTGTAGTTGTAGTAAGATGTAGAAAAAAATCATACAATCAAACAAAAATTCAGAGTTAACCGTGAAAATCGGACCTATGCCACCTTAATAAGCTTTTTAACTCTATCTTTACAAGAAAGTAAACGAAGCAACATGAAGCTTTTGAGAAAATTTTGAAACTGTCCGGAGTGTTTCATGTTAAGTACTCCACGTTTTAAATACTTTTTTTCAAAATCTCAAAGATGCGACTCAAGCCAGTTTGACACGCATTTCTTCAATTTTGAAAAATCCTACGTATGGTTTAGGCGGTAGTAGTGTTCACAGACGGGCAGACGAAAGGTTTGAAAAACAACAACACTTTTTCGGTATCTGGGGACCCCAAAACGTGGATCTCCGTTGAAACCTCGAAATCGATTTTCCGCAGCATTACATAACTTTTTATACAGGAAAAAGTAACAAAATAAACTGAACACCATATAAAACGCAACGAGAATTCAATTAGTGCTTGAAATTACTTCATATGAATTTTTTTCGAAAACTCTGTAGTTTTTCGTGGAAAGAGGTTCAAATTTCCCATCACAGTAACGCTTAAACACCATTTTCTCAAAAAATAGCTCCAAATTTTATCAATGAAACTATCATATGAGATGAGGTTTTGCTCTTATTTAATATTTTTAAAGTAATAATTAGATTCTACAATTAGGAAAGCGTAAATTTAAGAATTTAAGGCGGCTATAGATGTCAGCTGGCAAGTGCATGTGGCAAGCCCGAATAGCAAGCCGAGACCAAAAGCAAGAGCGGATCCAGAGAAGAATTTTGGGAGATGAAATTCAAAATGTTTTGGTCGAATGCGTTATGTTACAGATTTTGTAAAATGTCGTAGGCTATCAGCCCATGCTGCGATTCTATTTTATTCGTTTTAATGATAAACCGAAAATATTTTTCCATGAAAGTTTTGTGACGAGTTAACATTAATAGTCTCTGAAGCATTGGCATTCAATAGTATTGGAGCTGAAAATTTTCATTTCCCTCTCTGCTGTAAACCCCATAACGGTTTAATATGTTGAGGATTGGCGATTGTGCTGGGCAGGGAAAATGTTAAATGGTACCATATTCTGAAGCTCCGCAAACCA